CTTGAATTAATTATTTATGAAGGCAAGAGCTGTTTCTGCTTTCTTCAATGTTGTACTCGCAGAGCTTAGAAGAGTACCTGGCATAGTAGAGTAGGTACTTAATAAATATTTACTCTGTGAATGAATGAATACATGAATGAAGGACCAGCTCGCAACTCTGAGATCCAGCTAGGTCAAAATACGGCCAGAGAAAAAGGAAATGCTTGAGCAAAAACGAAGAGGATGAGAGTGGATAAATTTTGTCTTTTTCCCAAAATGTTTAAATGTTGGAAAATATGCAAATAAGTTTCTGAAGACAGCTATAGTCAATAGGTAATGTCTAGTGTGGATCCCAAGAAAACAGCCAAGTGGATTAAGGACTGGACCTAAAGTTATCAAAGGAACCAAAAAAGAGAAGGCCAAGTTTTGCGCATGACATGTGTTATCATTAGGAATGTAAACATAATGATAAATTACTGTAAATTGTAATAACGCTTTTGAAGCTTGGCCATGTACTAGCCGCTCTTGCTAAGCCCTTTATCTGACACTAAGATTGCATTTTCGATCACTAGGTACTTGCTGGCCAGGTACACAGAAGTGGATTGATGTGCGTGGAAAGAGCAATAGGGATTCAGGGAATGAAGGGAAGCCTTCCAGGAAGGCACACAGTGCCTGTTAGGGAGGGCAAGCGCGCAGCGAAACCTGACCTAAAGCAAGCCCTTGCTCTGAAGGCGCCTCCCCCGGAAGCGGGCAGTCTGGTTTTCTCACCCCACCAAGCAGTCTCTGTCTGCAAAGAAAAACTGAGATAGTCTGACGACCCCGTCGATGGAGTATTCAGATGCCATGTATTCAAGAAGCACCAAGGACTGCTATGTGCCAGGCCGTGTCCTAGAGGTGGTGCTGCCCTGAGCAGAACAGACTAGTCTCTGCCCTGGGGAAGCCAGGAGTCTGGGAGAGCGGGCAGTCACAATAGTCTCACGAGTGCTGCAGGGCCTGGGCTAGTGCGTCCCCACTTGCGAAGGGTAAACGTTTCAGAGTAACTTCAAGAAGAAAAGGTGGTTGCAGGTAAGCAGCTTGGGAAACACCATCGGAACAACTTTCTGAGCCCCGCTTACAGGGAGGGTGGCGTGTTGAGCTTCCTTTCTTCTGGCAGACGAGCTGTGTGTGAGACCTCGCTCTCCGACTGACACCCTCCCACTGAAGAAAGAGTCTGCCTTGATTCACTCAGCCATTCGTTTCTTCACTTGGGCAGTAAACAGATGAGCCCTTTTCTATGCACTATGCCTGCCAGTGGCCAAGGGAGACACAGATTGATTCGGCCTTGTGAGATTCATTAGTTCTGGGGGTGGAAAAAGATACTCTGATAGCCACAATATTGAGAGCGCAAAGCTACACGGCAGACTGCAGGAACATAGGCCTGGTGAATTCTATCTGAGGAACTTAGAGAAGAGTTCACAGGGACTGGCATGTGTGAACTGGGTTTTGAAGGATGTATAGAAGTCCACCAGGTAGAAAAACACAACCTAGACAAAGGGGTTGGTATTTTGAGGGGTGAGAGGAGGAAGTACACAAATGTGAAAGCCTTAACATGTTGGGAAAACTGTGAAGTGTTAGATGTTAATAAAAGTGAGAAGGCAGTTCTTGTTGAAGGAACTTGGTCGAGGACTGGGACAGGCAGGCATGAAGGCTGCTTTTTGGTACTTTGGGGGAACCAACATGGACATTATCTTTAATGAGGGGTTGAGGAGTTTGGGCTTTGGGTCTCTGCCAGTGTTCTTCAACTTCAGTCATTCATATGTCATCTTCACATTTTTTTTTTTGCCATAGCTAGTTATTGACTTGGGATTTGTTTTTTAACCATCCTACTTTTAAAAAACACACATTTTATTAAACTTACTTTAAGAGGATATTATAAGCCAACATCATGAATGAAAGGTTCACCATAAACAAGATACAACTGTAAAAATTAATACATAACTATTTAAATAAAATGTATTCATTGCCTGCAATGCAGGAGACCTGGGTTCGATCCCTGGGTGGGCAAGAGCCCCTGGAGAAGGGAAGGGCTACCCACTCCAGTATTCTGGCCTGGAGAATTCCATGGGCTGTATAGTCCATGGGGTCACAGAAAGTTGGACACAACTGAATGACTTTTTCACTTTCACTGGTATATTTTCCCCAAATCATCTCACACACATTGCATTTTCACAAACATTGTTGGAACTGTGGGATTCGGTACACATGGTCAGATCAGAGCTGAGCTTTACACTTATACCTGTGTTGCCAATAAGAAGCATGGACTTGAGGGGCTGGGTGCAGAGACCTGCTAGGAGGTGATGATACTAACGCATTGGAAAGGCGACGAAGCCTCGGATGGAGAGGCGCGGTGCGGGGAGAGAGGGATGGTTTGAGAGTTGTTTCAGAGGTCGGCCAAACAGGATTTAGTGCCGATTAGACGGGGAAGAGCAGGGGCCAGCAGTGACAACGGGCTGGACGTGGCTCCATAATGGAGGGGCAGCTCCTGACAGCCATTTACAAGGCGATTCCATTTACATCAGAGTCATTCACAGAAGCTCAGGAGTTGGAGCTCTTCAAGGCATCAAACACAGTCATGTAAGCTCCAGGAGCTGAATTCTTGATGACAGAGCCAGCAAGATTCTCCCTGAGGAAACTATCTACTCCATGTACAGTGTTTAAGATGGAAACAAAAAGAAAGAAAGAAACAGGGCCATGCACCCACCTGTGTGTGCTCAGCTGCAGATGCGACGGAGACATGGAAGGAAGCTTTCTGCTAGCAGGTTTCCCTGAATTTTGCAAGTCTAATTCTTTGATTCTTAGCTACTGAAGGGTTATTATCAATGGCAAAATCGAACAAATAATCAGCAGAACATAGCTACCATGGGAAGTTGAAGTAGGAAATTAGTTCACGTCACGTATTTTAATTTTTCAGAACCCCAAGCCCCATCCCCACACATTTGGGGCTGTGGCGCGGGCAGATGAAGGCAGAAATGCCCCCCCAACACCCCCCTCCCCCACGAATAATCTCTACTGTATTAATCAGTTTCAGCAGGTAACTGATCACCTTTTCTTCATTTTGCTTCTGTACATAAGATCTGTGTATCTTCACTTAACAAGAAAGAAGGGGGAAAACAATCCTAGCAGCCCTTTTAATCAGTTAGAAGAAACAGCAGGGAAAGAATTCCAAACCTCTTTTCCCTCCTCTTCTCTCTCAGCAGAGTTTTTCATAGAATGGTGTAATGTGAGGCCTTCCTTTGGGTAAAGCAATTTGCATCACTTAAAGGAGTGAAAGGGAACTTTAATACCAAGTTTATCTAAGCTACTGTGAGAGAAGGGACTTGGAGTGCTAATTAAAATCAAGAGAAGCACAGACTACTGGATGGTTGGGGGGTGGGGAGAGGCTGGGGAGACAATGGCTTTGGGGAACATAATAGGTCCACCTGCTTTGGGTGTTACCTGAAGAGGTCCTTCAGGTTTCTTTCCTATAAAATAAAGGTATGAGTGTCTACTGCTAGGGTTCAGGTGACTTGATGAGCTATTGCGTGTGAGTGTCAGCTCGGTGCCTGGCATGTAGCAGGCAGCCAGCAAGTGATGCGCAGAGCTGTGGGCCTTTTTTTCCCCTCCTGGTCATTCATCTGCCTGGGCTTCCCAGGTGGCTGAGTGGTAAAGAGTCCATATGCAGCAGACCCGGGTTTGATCCCTGGGTTGAGAAGATCCCTTGGAGGAAGAAATGGCAGTGCACTCCAGTATTCTTGTCTGGGAAATCATCCCATGGACAGAGGAGCCTGGCGAGAATAGTGACTAGATTAGCCACTCAGTAACAACAAGAACAGTTCACCTGCCATTTAAACTCAAACGAATTTAAATTCCCCTAATGACTAGCTCTCCCATCCGTTGATTTTTTTCAATACTTATTTGGTAAACTCAAGCACCGATGTAAACTATCCAAACATGAATACTAGAAATGGTATCATAAGAGAAGCATCCTTAAGTAGGATCATTTCAAAGTCTTCCCTCTCGGGAGAGTGATCCGCACTGTAGCACCCCATATGATGGAACGCTCCTCAGCATCAAGAAGGAACCATCTGATACATGTGAGAGCTGGCATGGATCACAAAGATGTTACGTATGAAAGAAGCCAGTCCCCAAAGGTTAATTACCGTAGAACGTTATCTGTGTACAATATCAGAGAGACTCAGTATTGGGAAGGAGCGCGGCTGAGTGGGTGACAGGGTGGAGCTGGAGGGAGGTGTGAGTACAGAGGGGAGGAGGGGTTTCTGCAGCCGTGGGGCTGTTCCCTGCGCTGACTGTTGTGACCATATTACAAGTCAGGCATGAGTTAAAATTCAGAGAACTGAACACCACCAGGAAAAGTCCATTTTACCATACGCTAGTTTAAAAAGTAAAATTAAAAGCCTCCAAACACAAAGTGTTCCTTCTTGGACGATGCATTCCATTTTAGCACACAGACAAAAATAATCCAAAACAGGAAACAGGGCAACAACTCCTGTGTGTCTGTGTGTGTGTGTGGTGTGTACCTGAGCAAGAAAAAGAGTGCAAATGTCACATATAAATCACACGAGCGTGGGGGTAAGTGTGACGTTTCCCTCTAGGTTATCGGTTGGGATTATGGACCCGGGTGGGGTAGAAGAGCAGTGAGCCAGGAACGGGGCCAGGAACCGGGGAGTGAAGCATCCACAGGGGGTGGGTGACCAGTCGAACTCTAAAAGCAGCAGCTACAGTCCATCTGCTCAGGTAAAACCGTGCACGTGTGCACACACGTGACGACACAGGAGCCCGTGGGGCTCCGAGTGAGGGTGGCTGCGCTACATGGTCAAGGAAATCACCTTTGAAGAAATTTGTAGCGAGTGCATCTCATTCCGAAGACTCAGACAGCTGAGTTAAAACCTGAGGGACATCAGCTCTTCCCTTTCAAAACCCCCAGCTGCCCTTACGTGGGTTTGTAAGCAGGGAAAACAGTGTCAAACTGCCAGATAGTCTTTATGGAGGCATGCATGCAGTGCCCCCAGAAGAATGAACATGGGAGACACTGAAGCGTCAGGAGGGGGGAGAAAAGTCCTCTTTGGTTCAAAACCTTTCCGTTTAAAACCTCAAACTGGTTTGCTAATGTTAATAGGCAAATCCACTCAAATGCTCCTTTGCAGACAGTTTCAAAGAAATAATGAGTTCCTCCATCTTCTGGATAGAGGTGAGGAGGGCAGCGTGATGTCTTTATTACTGGGGAGTCTGGGGTTTCCTGGGCCCTTTTCTATGTCTCGCCTTCTGTGTTCACATACTGACTTTGCCTGGTGAATCACGCCCACTTTACGGACGGGGAAAGTGAGGCTCATAGGAGGTGACTTTTATATGAGTAGAATGCCTTTCATTTTTCAAAAAGTGTTTCCATGGGTGTCTTTGCCTCCAGATAGCATCAAGGACTTGTCCATGAAACACATGGCCTAAATTCTTAGAGAAATGGAAACAAATCTATCAAAGAATGCAAGGACAACATTCTTATAAAAGATCCTCGAGGACAGGCTGTTCACATCTGTTTGTTCTAGTAGACAGAGGGTTAGGCTAAACTGACCTTTCAGTCCTGAGTACACCCCACAGTCCGTGTCAGGAATGTTGATAAGGATAAATCAAGAACACAGAGTGTTTGTTACTGGCCCTGCAACTGGGGAGTCCAGCAAGTTAGGACAATTTTCTCAATACTATATTTGGCAATATGATAGGATTTGTTGGAATGTCTAGATGTTCGGTTGATTTTTATTGGTTTCCCTCAGAATATCGAATACACACAGACCTCAACATAAATAAAAATGTAAAATTACATTTTTTTCCAGGAAGGTAAAATGAGGATTTGTTTAAGCAAGAATGACTCTCAGAGGGAGAGTGGGCAGACAGGTGAGGAGCTCAGGTCCACGTTTGTCAGTAGCCCACCTCATTGCAGGTCCACGCTCGGGCTGACCCCCAGCCCGCGACTATCAGCTTGCTCGGCAGCAACCTGGCTTTCTTTGAGCAGAATCCAGGCTGTGTTTGCTGTGTGGCTTGTCTACCAACGTGGCAGACCACAAGGAAGAGACCCAAGTCGGGGAAACAGCAGAACTGGCTCAAACTGGGGGTATTATCCTTACGGCTGTCCATGTTGCGCTGAGTTATGGGAAAAATGAGATTAATTACAGGAAGTGGAGACACATCAAAGGCAAGGAAGTGGCAGATCAGAGCTTCTGGCTGCAGGGACTAAGTCGAGAAACAAACGGAGGTCACGTCCAAGTCAACAGTGATGGAGGCTAACGCAGAGTGACGTGAAGCTCCGCTGGACAAGGTGAGGGGTGTGGGCTCTCAGGGACCCTTGTGTGGGGGCTGCTCAGGGAACCCGGGGCCTCGGCTCACCTCCTGGAGGCCAGGGAAGTGATGCAGCGAATGACGTGCACACCACAGGGTTTGCTTTAGTAGCATAGGTAAATGCAGGGGAGGGAAAGGAAACGGAGAAGGAAATAGACCCAGGGATGAGGAGTGGAAGGTGAGAGGTGGGAAGAGAAGGGAGGAAGGGTGGAAGGGACGGAGAAGAGAAATAGTGAATCAGAAATAAAATGAAAGTGAATTTCAGAGGTAAGCCGGAGTGAAGACCAAGTCCTGATACATATTTTATATCAGGACAAGCTAACTAAACACGAAGTCTGTAACACAAGCTATTTACTGCTTTGTGCATTTGCTTAAATCCCGCTGGGCTTGGCGCAGACAGCCAAGTCCATGACACATACACCTGAAGAACCATGCGGCAGGTCCCGCGATGTGGGCACGGGGAGGAGAGGGCCTAGAGCGAAAGGAGGAAGACAGACGGATGGGGTGAGAGGCCGAGGGAGGGCGGGACAGGAGGGGACTCGGGTTCTCCAGTGGGAAATGGAGGGAGGAGAATTCCCTTCTTTGAGGGTCACAGAAACCAACGAGGGGTAAAAGCGATGGCGAAGGCCTGTGGGGGTGCACAGGACTCAGGCATTTTGGAGACGCGGAAGTCCACCCTTGCCTTAAGTCCTAAGGGAGCGGCACTCTCAAAGGATGGCAGCCTGTCTCAGAACAGAGGACGCCGACAGCGAGACACGCGAGGGCAGGCAGGCGCCTTCGTGAAACCGCGAGAGCGGGGACGCCGAGCTGCCCAGGAGTGCGGACGAAGCCCGGGGCGGGAGCGGACAAGGGGCCTTCCTCTCGGCCAGGCTGCGCTCGGCTCACGCGGCAGGCTCCTTCTTCCTCAGACTTCTCTCCGCCTGTCTCCTTTCCCCTTTTCCATTCTCTCTCCATCTCTTCCCATTTCTCCCCCCTCACTTACACCTTCTCCTTCTCTCTCAATATGGAACACACTCTGCTTTGTTCTCAAGAGGCAGAGTTCTGCTCCCAGTCCCTGGAAGACAGGGTTGCCCTGGAGGTTCCTTTCTTTTTCATCTTTTCAGGGTCATTCAAGTGCAAATGGGTGAAGAGTAGCAGATTAAGATGCGGCTCCAGTTCAAGTCCTTGGATGCCACAACGCACTAATGTCAACATACTGTCTTAGCAGCTGCAAATTACTAGAAGAAGGGAAGTTGCTTTTTGCGTGTCTCTCTGGGTGCTTTTTTTCCTTCATTTTTTTTTTTTTTCTTCTAAAATTCAGAAACCTAGAGACTTCATAAAAACTCATCGCAGAGAGACTGGAGTGAGAACGCAGAGCGTGGGAAAGCACAGTATAGACAGATGTGAAGCTAGGCTTATTTCCCAACTTCCACTGCCGGGAAGCCATCTCTAATGAAGGGATGGGTTTGATGGGAGACTCATCAGAGGACCCGGATGCTCAGCTTTTAACTTATTTGCAAAGCAGGTATTTTCTTGCAAATAAGAATTAGAGAATAGCCTCCAGCTAAACTGGAAGGAGTCCCTGAAGAGCAAACCCTCAGAGGGGAGACTCACTGAAGAAGAAAATGAAGATGACAAGGCTGTTGCTTCTTAGTAAACATGATCGCATTTTCAGCATGCATTATTTATTACTTTTCTTTCACTGATTTATTGTCCTAAAACATGTAATCTACTATGGAGAGGCGCACACAAGTCTGCACAGATGTCTCGGCGTACTCCTCATGTTTCACAAAAAACAAAACATGTAACAGCCCCAAATGTTCAGGAGGTCTCGGTTAGATGTGGCTTATCTGTTCATCTTTCTCATCTCTCTGTTTTTGTTTTTTGCAAGATGCTAAATAGAATAAAATCCTTATCATCGAAAGTGATACTATCAGTCCCTGCCTGTGCTGTATTAAGTCGCTTTAGTCGCGTGCGACTCTGTGACCCTGCGGACCGTAGCCCGCCAGGCTCCTCTGTCCGTGAGATTTTCGAGGCAAGAATACTGGAGTGGGTTGCCATGCCCCTCTCCAGGGGATCTTCCTGACCCAGAGATTGAGCCCACATCTCTTACGTCTCCTGTTTTGGCAGGGGGGTTCTTTACCACCAGCACCACCTGGGAAGCCCTTAGTCACTGCCTAGTAAGCTTCATCTCTATGCAGAGGGCTTACTATATAATATCACTGATTCCACAGAAGAATCCCACCCCCACTTTGGATGCAGGAAAGTGGAGGCTCAGAGTGTTTAAGTGACTTGCCTGAAGTCACAGCTACAAATCGCTGAGCGTGGATTAGAACTTGGGTGTCTGGACGTTAAAAGCATGTTGTAATTGGTAAATCACACTGTCTTGGAGCAAGACAGCAAAGAGCTGGCGAGGGCAGAGCCTGAGCTCCAATCCGGTTACTCTGAAGCCAGAACGTGAGGTCTTCTCCACTAACCACACTGCTCGTAGGCATGTAAGTTCCTCCAAAATCAGTCAACACCGAGCCTTTTAAAAGAAAACAAACAGCAACCTTTGGGTCTGCCTCTACCTCGCCGGTAACTCTTTTTCTTTTCGTTGTTTTCTTTCGGTTCTGTCAAGATATACACATAACCATTTTTTGAGGCTTATGTGGACTTAAGTGCACAGCATCTAGTGTTAAGAAATTAATAACCATCATTAATAAATAAACTTACTGAGCCACTCTCAATGATGATACAGTGTGAACCAGTCTTTTTCTTTTCACTCTTGCCAGGAGTTAACAAGGAACAGGACCACACACCTCTAGGAACACTTTCTGTTGGTTTCCCTTCCAGGAAGGAAATGAATATAAAGTTAGCCCTGAGCTTTTCTGAGACTGTGGATGTGGTGCTAGTCATACAACGTGTCGAGGAGACTCGAGTCATTCAGGCCCGGGATCCGTGCTGAAAAGTTAAAGGCAGCAGAAAGACGCCAGGAGCCTGAGCTGGGATGGGGTCGACGGTGAGCGAGCAGGCCAAAGCTGCATTGGGTATAAGAAAGGCCAAACATGGGCCTGAAGCGTTGACCTCCACTCATTGTGTGGACGTGTCTGTTTGTGCTTCTTGATGACAACAGTAAATCACATTCCATGTACAAAATGTGGAAGTGATAGAGGAATACAAAAAAAAATAAAAACCATGACAAATTGCATGATGGAGATATAATAATATCACATAATAATATAAAATTGCCTTTATCACTGTATCTATCGTTATGCTTATCTCAGATATGCTATAGCTATAAATAAATATAATGTATTATAGGATCATAACATATATACTATTTTAAAATCTCCCTTTGTTCACCCTCCTCAATATAATGGGAACTTTTTGTTTTTAGGAACATATATTTTTTAATGGCGGGTGATAATCCATTGTGAAGTATTACAATTTTTTAAAATAATGACCCCCTTATTAATGGGCTTTTTCAGCGGTCATGTATGGATGTGAGAGTTGGACTGTAAAGAAATCTGAGTGCTGAAGAATTGATCCTTTGGAACTGTGGGTTGGAGAAGACTCTTGAGAGTTCCTTGGATTGCAAGGAGATCCAACCAGCCCATCCTAAAGGAAAGCAGTCCTGAATATTCATTGGAAGGACTGGTGCTGAAGCTGAAACTCCAATACATTGGCCACCTGATGCAAAGAGCTGACTCATTTGAAAAGACCCTGATGCTAGGAAAGATTGAAGGCAGGAAGAGAAGGGGACAATAGAGGATGAGATGGTTGGATGGCATCACCAACTCAATGACATGAGTTTGAGTAAACTCTGGGAGTTGGTGATGGACAGGGAGGCCTGGTGTGCTGCAGTCCATGGGGTTGCAAAGAGTCAGACATGACTGAGAGGCTGAACTGAACTGAACTGAGCTGAACTATTAACGGGTATGACAGTTCTTTCTAATTCCTCCCAATATTTTGCACCCTTCATTGGATATAATCTTGCACATATCCTAGTGTGCATATCCTTCCACTAACTACCTAGAAATGTAATGATTGTGTCCTGGGCCATGTTCACTGCAGAAGCATTTGATACATCAGCAAAATGTTCTTGGTAGAGTGTTACCACTTTGGGCCTCCTGTGGATATGTAAAAAGGCTCATTCGCATGTCTCTCCAACTGCCCAGTAATAGATATGGCTATCAAAAGTACAGTAATGATTTGATAGCCAAAATAATAATAGTAATAGCATGTAATAATAATGGTAGTTGGTAGTTCATAAGGCATTTCTTTGGTAACCAATTCAGATACGTTAAGGCCACTTCCTTGGTAGCGCAGACAGTGAAGAATCTGCCTATACAAGGTAGGAGACCTGGGTTCAATTCCTGAGTCGAGAAGATCCCCTGGAGAAGACAATGGCAACCCACTCCAGTATTCTTGCCCGGAGAACGCCATGGTCAGAGGAGACTGGTGGGCTATTGTCCATGCGGTCGCAGAGTCAGACGCAACTGAGCAACTAAACTAATCCCCACTAATCAGATATATTAATATACACACGCCAGCGTTTTACAAGAATCTACTGTCTTAAAATGTAAACAAAGGCAAAGAAAGAGCAGTAACCACAAACATGAACTCCAACGGCCCTGGGGGACAAAATGAATCCTGGACCAGGAAACAAACAAGAAAGCTAAGGCAGAAGCGGTGGCAGGTGCCTGGTGAACACCAGAAGGACACTGTCTTTCTGAGAGTTGACGTGGACTCGCCCTTACCAGCTTACTTATGAAGAAATGTGTCCTAAGCAGGGTTGAGAGAACTTCTTCAACAGAAGAATTGCTTTCCTTAAGATCTATTTCTCTTCTCCCTTCCCCGATCTAATTTAGGAAGATGACTTAGTTCTCTCTCCTTCCAGGAAAGTGTACACATTCTGCGGGGCCACTGTGAATCAGATTGGAGTTGAGAGTCACCGTCTGGGTTACCAACAGCAAGCTTCAAGAATGAAGCCAGGTGCCTCGTCAGGAAGAAGTCACACTGTGGCAGAAAAATGACGCCCGTTAGCCAATGAGAGAGTAGAAGCCCGAGCAGAACCTCTCCTTTCCTCATGTGCACGAGCACGTGCAAGTTGCTTCTCCTCCTCTTCAGCCTGGCAGCCTGGTGCGTCTTTGAGGCTTGGGATCAGGCCAAGCAGGGGTTAAATCTTGTCCGTCTGTCTGTCTGTCTGACGGTCTCTCTCTCTCGTCTCCCTCTCTAACTCTCCTTCTTACTTTTTCTTTCAGCAAATATTTATCTCTGTTGTGTGCTGGGGATACATTCCAGCCATCCGTTCAGCCATACATTCAGCCACGGAGACAGAACATCCATGGAGGAGCCCAGGATTCCCGTTTCTCCTTCTCACCTCTCTCTCTTCGTGATGGACCTCGAGGGTTTCAGCTCTGACTCTACGTGCAGCAGGGATCTAGGGAGCCTGCTTTGGGTCCTCTAGGTTCTCGTCAAACAGCTGCGAATGACTACCCCAGACTCTATTGTCTGCAGACTTCGGCTTTGACTATATTTTACTTTCCTGTAAAATATGCTATTTCGTGTCGAGATCTGCTGCTGTCCACCAAAAATACAACTCTGTTACTAACCCTGCCAGCTCCTGGATGATACCTCTGTGGACACTAAAAACAATTTAATGGCATGTCACAATAGCAATTCACTCTGTTAATAGCCCCGCTCAATGATACTATATTGCATAAACCTCCTCCAGTCGTCTGACAAATAATTCACCTTTATTCACTCCACAGTAAGCTCCATTTCACTAACAAATATATTTCTCCCCAAACCTACAAATATCCAGCATCTCTGTCCTGTGACAATAGCTATTTTTTCGGATGAGGTCAGTGGTATCAGGTTTCCATTACCGCTCACTGGCTTAGTCCCAATGACCATCTTTTTCCACGCAGTGCGTCAAATTAGGGGACAGCATAGTTTCTGATTTCTCGCTCACACACCAGTGCATGAATGCACCATGATTATGCAGGCACAGGAAGCATTTGCTCTCTCTGTGGACAGCGGTTCAGATGGAGAGGCAAGGAACATTCCCTTCCCTGAGAACGCATGTTCGTTCCATTTATTTATTTTTTTTAAATGTCTCCTTTGGTGGCAGGAGGCAATGGGGCTCTTGACCTGGGAACCATGGTCCTCAAAGGTTCCCTAAATTCAGGCATTAAAAAAAATAATTTCCACCAAACTTTACCTAAAATTGAGGGTTTCTTCAGTCACAAATGCAGGCACCTGATCACGGGACCTGTGACTTTAGCACCGGTACAAATCACAGGTATCATCATATCATATTACAGTGTTGCAGAGATATTGAAATATCACTGACATTTATTACTATTTGAAAATTATAGTAGTTATTAGGCCTCCTCATAGATTGTGTTATCGAATGTCTTAATAAAGAAGTACGTACATAACTATATCCAAGTCTGTTTCTTAAAAAATATTTTGATGACTGCATTTCCATATAATTGGATCTTTTTGGTAATAATTTGGATCTATTTAGTAACAATATATTTTTATCATGTGCATTTAAAAGTGGTATTCTGAAAAGGGGTTGGGGATGGGGACTCAGCCAATAGTATAAAATAGTTAAGAACTAGCTCTCTGGAAGACATGTGGTAGGAAGGAGCATGTGGTTGGAAGTCAGGCACGCAAGGGTTCAAATCTGGATTTTTCAATAAAAGTAATAACACAACAGGCACCCCTAACACGCTTTCCATGGGCCAGGCATTGTTCTAAATGTTTTGCATGTGTTCAATGCGTTGAATCTCTACTCTGTGAAATCTGTCCTTTCACTAGCCTTCACCTGACAAAAGAGGAGTCTGGAGCTCAGAGATGTCGGCAGCATGTCCACGATCACTCAGCTGGTGAGCTGGAGAGATGAAGTCCGCACCCGGAGGAGCTGCTCTTCATCTCCCTCACACATTAGTGATTAGGGCAAACCAACCAACCAGCAAGTGCTGTGCATGCAACATCACTGCTCCGTAAACTGACCCTATAAGCGTCTTCCTGTAGTTATTACTGTAACTTTTTAGATGAGAAAAATGGGATTAAAGAGGAGTTGGATAGATGGCACAAAACCATACAGCTTGGAAGAGACAGTTACAGCAATGCCAAACCCGGTGTATTGCCTGTTTTTGTGAATAAAGTTTTACTGGCCTATAGGCACACCCCTTTGTAAATGCATTGTTTATGACTGCTTTCTTGCAACATGGCAGAGCTGAGTAGTGCTGCAGAGACCAAAAGGTCTGCAAAGGCCAAAGATGTTTACCATCAAGTTCTTTACGGACTAAGTTTGCAGCCGTCGTGTGCTACGCCACCTCCTGTCTGCCTGTCACTTATTTGTTGCAATGTGGTCCTGGGAAAGGAAGTCACCTCTGCCTTCAGTACCCTGAATGGTAAAATGGGGTCATAGCGGTGTTAATATCTTGGGATGTTCATGGACATGAAATGTGTGGAAAGAGTTTAGCACAGTTCCTGGCACAGGATAAAGGTTCAGGAAATGTTGGTGGCTGTTATTATTCCCATGATTTTCATTTGAATCTGTAACTAAGACCTCATGTCATACTCTAAAAAGTTTAACAGTTCATAAAGTCAAGTTAGCAATTTCTGGGCATGTCAGTCCCCGGAAGAAACTGACCCTGACGCTGAGTTTCCATCTCATTCTCTGAAGAAGTAACCTGCCTCTTAGATTAGGACAACACTGTCCAATCAAACAAACCAACTACCGGTCAATGAGCCGCTGTTTCCAGACACATCAGCACCACCCAACCATCTCTTTCATTATGTACAAAATTCAGCCCCTAAATGGATTCAAGTGATTGGAGCTCAACCTGGGTCACAAATCACCCAAGACATAGACGCCTGATGGCAAATGAGCACAAGGGCGCAAACCCCATGGGGTAAAGGACAACGTCAAGTAAAGGAGACTGGATGGGGGAAGGCCAGCCCGGGGAAGACTGGAATTATTAATACCTAAAATGGATTTTATTGAAGGAAAGAATGCCAACCTTTTTTCCTTGCATGCTGCTTCCCAGGCAAACACTGGCTGATGCTAAGAAGAAGTTGTCTTCCCCATGCTCTGTCCACAGAAGCAAAAAGAAAACTAAGATGATTACATATGTTTAGGGGAAATCAGAGTGTTTTGGCTTCAAGTTTGCTTTCTCTATCAACCATATTAAGCAGGCAATTACTCAACACTCCATTTGGCCTGGAAGATGCTGCCTTAACATGGAGAACCCTATTTATAAGCTCCTTTTAAAAAGTGAGCAGAGTGATGTGGAAACACAGCTTTGGAGTTAAGCACGCATGGGTTCAAAGCCCAGTCCCCCCATTCCCAGGTTCATTTTTCCTGGCTTCAGTTTTCTGATTCAGGAAATGGGGTAAGTACTTGTATTATGGGCCCCAGTACTTCAGCCTTCCATCTCTCTGTGCCTTTCCCAGCTAACTAGAGTGTCCCTCTTTCTGACTCCCAGCTAGGCATGTGGCTTGTGTCATCTGTTGGGATGTTGGCAAACGTAATGCAAAGCAGAAAACTGAAAAGTGTTTACATAACCCAGCTTGCTCACTTTCCACCTGTCCCGCTGCTGCAGAAAGAAAATGCACAGGTTAGCCTGCTAGATGAGAGAGCTGCCTGGTACGGGGCCAGGTCATCTCAGCCATCATAGTCAAAGCCGTCCCCTATCAGCGGACAGCTAGCCAGTTCCCAAAGACGTGAGAGAGCCCAGCCGGGACCAGCAGAGCCTGAGCTGACCTGGATGCTGACTGCAGACTTATAGATGGGCCAGCTAAGCCCAGACCAGCTGGACCCATACACTAGTGGGCCAATAAGCGTTCACAGTTTTACATCAGTGAGGTTTAGGTTTGGGTTCATAGGTTTATGTTGCTGCCTTTGCTATGTAGCATTGTCCTGAGCATGCATGCTCAGCAGCTCAGTCGTGTCCAACCCTTTGCGACCCCGTGGACTGCAGCCCGCTAAGCTCCCCTGTCCCTGGGATTTCCCAGGCAAGAATACTGGAGTGGGTTGCCATTTCCTCCTCCAGGGGATCTTTCCCACTCAGGGATCGAACCCACGCCTCTTGGGTCTCTTGCATTGCAGGTAGATTCCTTACAGCTGAGCCACTGGGGAAACCCTGTCAATAGATTAGCTGATATATTTACTTCACAGAGTTGCCTTGAAAAATAAATAAGATAATACCTAGCAGAGTTGGTGCCCAATGAGGAGAGGTGCCTGGAAATACTAGAATTGTTACTGGAGCAAAACACTTTTGTCGATATTAACCTGCACTCTGTCTCTAGCCTTTTATGTAACCAGTTGTGTTTGTTACCTCAGGGAAGGGATGTTGCAGGTAGAAAGCAGAGATACCCTCCATCTCTCCTTAGCTTTCTTCTCCCAAAGCCTAACCCCCTTGAAAAGCTTAGAGGATTTGGAACAGAAATAAAAGAAAAAGGATTTGGGCCAGAACAGAGAGTTGAGAGTAGGTCTTCCTCTCCCCTATTTCATGCCCCCTCCCCCAGATTAAGAAGAGATTCCAGTTGGGCTGGGACGGGGAGAGAAGAGGGAAGAGAAAAAACTGCTCAACAATGGAGGCCAACACCTTGGGGATTAAATGGCTCTGGTGTGTTAGACAGCCAGGATACCAGGGTGGCCTTGCAGAAAGATATCTGTGCTCAGCCACGGCCCAGGTGCCAGAGAGAGCTCCCTGACATCATGAAGGAGGAGGTGTCACAGAACGCCAAGGGGCTCTCCACTTTCCCAAAGACCCTGCTTTTCGTCCCAAACGTCTTAGGCTGGCATATTATCTGGATTTCCAGTTCAACTTCAAAGGAAGAGGACTCCGTTACCAGGTTGGGGTTAAAATGTTCTGTGTGCTTTGCTGAAAATAGGAATTCCCTTGTAGTCTAGAAAATGAAAATATATTCCTTGCTTCATCCATCTTTAATTTGTTGCCCTAAGAAGAATACTCACTAGATGACAATAATATGATGGCTACTGTTGATAGGGGGAATAATTATTTTTAAGGTCCATCAATTATTTTGGGCTTCCCAGGTGGCTCAGAGGTGAAGAATCCACTTGCCAAGGCAGGAGACGCAGGTTCCATTCCTGGGTCAGGAAGATCCCCTGGAGAAGGAAATGGCAACCCACTCTGGTATTCTCGCCTGGAAAATCCCACGGACAGACAAGCCTGGTGGGCTACAGTCCATGGAGAAGCAAAGAGTCAGACGTGACCTGGTGCCTAAACAACAACACTTATATTGGTATGAAAAGTACAGAAGCTTTTGTAGCTAGAGTAGATGACATCTAAGAAATACCTATCAATAGATGACCTCATCTCCAATAGATCATATCCTAGGAGGGAGAGTAGAGGGGTAAAGAGATTCACGGGAGACACCACTGTCCTTGCGAGATGACCCCAGCTGCCCCAATTCCTTGAGAAGAAAGATCCTTCCACGGAAGTCACACTCTGGCAGTCTTCAGGCTGTATCTGGCCAGGAGATGTGTTTTCTTTGGCTTGCTTGATATTTTTTAAAAAATGCTATCAACCCTTAAAAATCAAGAAATATCTTTCCAAACACACACACAAAGAGATCCAGATTTCTGCGTGTGTGTGTGTGTGCTCGGCCGTGTCTGACTGTCTGTGGCCGCACAGACTATAGCCAACCAGGCTCCTCTGTCCATGGAATTTTCCAGGCAAGACCACTGCCGTGGGCTGCCACTTCCTCCTCCACAGGATCTTCCCGACCCAGGGATTGAACCTCAGTCTCTTTGTCTCCTGCTTCAGCAGGCAGATTCTTTACCACCAGCATCACCTGGGAAGCCCATAAAAAAAGTGAAAGTCGCTCAATCGTTTCTGACTCTTTTACCATCTGATTTTTTTTTTTTTTGCCATCAGATGTTTACCATCTGAGCCTCCAGGGAAGCCCTGGCTTCTTTTAAAAAGTATTATTAATAGTAAAAAACCTACTGGTATCTCAGTCAGTGCAGGAGACTGGGGTTCAACCCCTGGGTCAGGAAGATCCCATGGTGAAGGAAATGGCACTCGCTCCAGTATTCCCGCCTGGGAAATCCCAGGGACGGAGGGGCCTGGCAGAGCCCAGCCCACGCGGGTGCAGGAGGCGGACGGCTGAGCGGCTCACCAGGCGCGCCCCGGGGCTGGGGGCAGCGGCCCCGTCTAGAGGCGGAGCGCGGGCTGCAGCTCACCGCCTTCCCGGCCCCACGGTCTCCCCATTGAAGGCGCAGCGCCGGCTGCCTCGCATTAGTGGTCCCGGCTCTCCGAGGAAACTAAAGCTCCTCTGTACCCGCGGTATTTCTGAGTGGAAAATGAAAGCGCGAATAAGTAAGCTATCGGTTTCTTGCTCACCAGCTCATTTATTTTTTCTGCCTAGATTTTGGGCATTTAATGTTGCAGTTCTGAATTCATCCTTCAGATGACTCAGGGGTGGAGCAGGTATGCTTCCTGCGCTAGGATCTATTGTTTTCACAAACATCTTGATACGGTGCATGCTCACACACACACATTTAGGGAGTAACAGAGAACAACTTGTGAACTTGCTTTTGTTTGTCTAAAGTATTTTTAATTTTCCCCCAAATAGAAACATTTGTTTTCCAAAGAGGCCCACATATATTCTGCGGAAAAATAAAGTCTATCACTGGAACTTTAGTAAGATTCCGAAAAGACAGCAAAAATGTTGTGGCAAATGGGGGGTGGGGGGGAAGGCCGTTTGTAAAGAAATATTATTTGTATCGAATATCATGAGGAAATAAGTGCATCATGACAATTTGGTACATCTTCTGTGATTTGATTGTCAGTAATGAGGCCCACAGGAGAGTGATAAATGTGCAGGGGAGAAGGATCTATTTCACTTACGCCGCAAATTATGCAACTCACGGTTTGATAGCACTTGGCAAAATACAAATGTATTTGAATGGAATTCAAATTGTTGCTCTTTGCCTAAGACACAGGTAATATCACCAGGGGTCCTGTCTTTGGATTTTTATAAGAGGTAAGAGTTTAAGTAATAGTAGCGGTATTACAAAATTACCTTTAAACACTGAAAACATCTTTACTTTGTTACACGGTGTAATTTCCACTTTTCCCCTCTAATGGCTCATATACAGAAAATGATACACTAATGCAATTTTTCAAATTTAGTTACCTTTTTTTGTGTTCTAAAATTATATGTTCTCATCATTTGCCCTGTTTGTCAGTCTCCAGAATCCATTTATTTCCCTGTTCTTATGGTTCCATAATTTATCTTCTTGTCACAGAACTTTCATAAACTTTTTTTTTTTTAAGATACAAAATACTTGCAATAAACTCTGACAAAAATGCTTCCAGTTCAACTTTTGAAATCTTTCAATTATGTTTTGAACGATTATCATACTTTCTAGTGTTGCTGTGCTGTGAAATCTCTCACGGAGTGACATCTTACTAGGTTAGGGGGAAAATTACTTGAAAAGAGAATCACTTCAAACCATTTATATTTCTTTGCTTCTTCACTTTTGAATATATAGATTTATATTCACGCTCATAGCATGCAGAGAAGGGAAAAAAGGAACGATGAAACGAGAATCGTATCGGTGATGGATAGAAACACTATTCAGTCAAACTTCA